AAGAGTTTACTACGTACTAAAAATATATATATATAAATAAATATATCCAACATATATTACACCAATACATAAGTTATTACAAATTTAAGTTCAAACACTAAAGTAAATAAAAATGAAGTTTAAACTCAGTCATCATGATACAAATTAAAACCCAAACATTAATTAGATGAAATAACCCAATATTTAACATTATTAAAATGAATTTGGATAAAAAAATTCACATATAAGATAAGAAATAAAAAAATATAAAAGATAAATGATAGAGTTTTTGAATTTTTTTCCTATAATTTTATAGATATTATAGTGTGTGAATATATTCTAAATAATTTCAATTAATACACTGTAATATATTAATGGAAAAAAAAAAAGCATAAGTAGCAAACTAGGCCAACCCAATCCAATAACTATTGAGCCCAAGTCGATAAGAATATGAAACGCAACAGTTTTGTTAGGGTTTATGAGTTGAATAACAGAGGTGAGAAATCAGAGAGGGAAGAAGGGTGGGAAGATGGGAAGAAGAAACGGGGAAGGTCATTGCAAGAAACCCATTGTCATCGATTGGAGTCTTGCAAGTTCAAGTATTCTACCATTGATGAACTCGTCAACCATCTTCGCTCAACTTACCCTGATTACCAGCGAACGAAGCACGAAGACAGATTGCAAAAGATGGAAGCATCACACATCAGAAAGAGGATGCGGAGCAATCAGATTCAGGGCCCTCTATCGACATCCTCTGCTTCAGCTTCGGAGAGCGAAGAAGATGAGGCTATTTGTGTCGACGTCAGAGTCCATTTCTTTCACTTTTTTTTTTCAGTTTAACTCGGTAAACACGTCGAGTCAACCGAGTTAACTCGACGTTTCAACCGAGTCTATCCAAAATCCGTTTCTATCATCGATCTGAAACGATTTTGGCCAAAAAAACGTAAAAACGTTCATTCCAACCGAGTTGAACGACGTTTTAACAACCATGCTGCCAGGATTCTGAACCATGTTCTAGTTCCAGCACCCCAACACTTGAGTGCCATGATGAAAATGATCTACACTTGCCTATTGCTCTCAGAAAAGGTACTCAATCTTGTACTACTCATCCTATTTCTATTCATATTTCATATGGAAAGTTGTCCCCAGGGTTCCGTGCTTTCAATACTATGTTGGATAGTACAAAGATACCGAGAAATATACATAAGGCTCTCGATGATCAAAAATGGAGGGATGTTGTCTTTGAAGAAATGAATGTTTTAGAAAGAAATGGAACTTGGGAGATAGTGACCCTACCCAAGGGAAAACAGGCAGTAGGATGCAAATGGGTGTTTACAATAAAATTCAATGCAGATAATAGCATCAACAGATACAAGGCAAGATTGGTTGCAAAGGGTTTCACGCAGACTCATGGGATAGATTATCATGAGACTTTTGCTCCAGTTGCTAAAGTCAATACCATCCGAGTTCTCTTATCACTTGCTGCCAACCTAGATTGGCCTCTGCAACAGTGAGATGTGAAGAATGCATTCCTAAATGGTGACTTACATGAAGAAGTCTATATGGATCCTCCACCTGGTTTTGAAAAGGGAAATGGATCAGTGTGTAAACTAAAAAAGTCTCTATATGGGTTGAAACAGTCTCCTAGAGAATGGTTCGACAAATTCACACAAGCAGTCAAAGGAAGAGGCTTCATTCAAGCACAGACTGATCATACTCTCTTCCACAAACACTCTAAGGATGGTAAAATTGCTATTCTTATTGTATATGTAGATGATATAGTTCTTACAGGTGATGATATTGAGGAATTGAACTCCTTGAAGAAATATCTAACAGGTGATGATATTGAGGAATTGAACTCCTTGAAGAAATATCTAGTAGCTCAATTTGAACTAAAAGATCTTGGCACTCTCAAATATTTCCTTGGTGTGGAAGTTGCTAGGAGCAAAACAGGCATCACTCTCACACAAAAGAAATATGTTCTAGATCTTTTGTTGGAAACAGAAATGTTAGGGTGTAAGCTTGCTGAGACACCCGTGGAACCTAATACCAAGTTAGGTATTGAAGATAGGAATGAGGTGGATAAAGAACAATATCAGAGATTGGTTGGTAAACTAATTTACTTATCTCATACGCGTCCTGACATTGCCTTTGCGGTGAGTATGATTAGTCAATTCATGCACTCACCCAAGGAGAAGCATCTTAGTGCAGTCTATAGGGCAATGTTATTAAAATCGGCTCGATCATTGACCCGGTCGATGTACTGGGTCAGTGGGGCACTGGTTCAACCGCATGACCCGGTAATTATATGCAATTTTATAATTTAATTAAAAAATTATAAATATACTCAAATATCTAAAAAAAATAATAAATATTTCAAATATTTTAATATAAAAAATAATAAATCACATACTATTATCCAATAAAGGATCAAATAAAAATATAATGATCGTGATACGGGATTTTAAATTCAGAAAATGACATCTCTAACTATAAATCAAATCAAAATTTTCTGCATAATGCACAATTGAGATAATATTAATGTTGTAGGTACATAATTTATGTAAGTCAATAAGCAAAAAAATATTCAAATATGTCCATTATGATTTTAGTTTTTTGAAAAAAAAAATTTGGATTTTTTTTTTTTATGACCGGGCCGGGTCACCGGTTTTCATGAAAATCGGCCGGGTCGCACCGGTTCTGATGCATGGCCGGTCCGTTGCTTCAACCGGACCGGTTATATGACCGGTTTACCGATTCCCAGGTCGACCCGATCGGGTCGGTCCGGTTTTAATAACTATGCTATAGGGTGCTTAGATACCTCAAGAACACTCCAGGAAGATGATTATTCTTTAAAAAGGGGTATAAAAGGACGATTGAAATCTACACTGATGCAGATTGGGCAAGCTCATCAGTAGACAGGAGATCTACCTCAGGCTATTGCACCTATGTGTGTGGAAATCTTGTTACTTGGAGAAGCAAAAAGCAAACAGTGGTTGCAAGAAGTAGTGCTGAAGCAGAATTTCGAGCTTTAGCTCATGGAGTTTGTGAAGGAATCTGGTTGAGAAGACTTCTTCAAGAGTTAAAGATTTCATATTCCCTACCAATAAAACTATATTGTGACAACAAGGCAGCTGTTAGCATTGCTCAAAATCATGTGCATCATGATCGAACAAAGCACGTGGAAGTTGATCGTCACTTCATCAAAGAAAAATTAGATGATGGAAGTGTGCGTATGATGTATGTTCCAACCAAAGAGCAAACTGGAGATATCCTTACCAAGGGCCTACACCGTCCAGCATTCGAAGACTTGATTGGCAAGTTGGGAATGATCAACATTTACCTCCCAACTTGAGGGGGAGTTTAGAAAATCAGAATTCAAATATTTTCCGTTTTTATTTCCTATTAATTAGGATTGATTAAGATTGATTAAGATTGATTAGGATTGATTGTGATTAGGATTGATTAGTCATTGCTGAGTCATTCTTAGCTATTCTTTCTTGTATAAATACTCCTCATGTAATTTATTCAATATCAATATATACAAAAACCCTTTTTCTACAATAGAAGGCCTAGGCAAAGTTGATCGTGTGAGCAGAGCGATCAACAGGATCCCATCACTTATCAACAGAATGACCAAGCTTATGGCAATAGGTACATTGAGGAAAAAATTTGTTAGATATACAAGCACGACCAGAACCCTTGGGGACAAGAGTTAAGGAATCAACAAGAGAAGTAGGCACATCAGGCTTATCGAGATGCTTGGATGATATCCAGATCAAAGAGAACCAAACAGAGGGAATCATTGGTAAGCCCAAAATTTGATTAGGATTGGCATAATACTCTAGAGGCAAACTATAAAGGGCTAACAACATGAACGTATTTTGTTGCTCAAGATCCTTGACAGGTATCTCGGCAGGGCAAGAGCTCGTAGCAGTGATGGGCAAAGCCATGAATCTTCCCCAAATCTGAAGACATATAGCCATCAAGCCGCCGAGGCGCAACAATGCTTAGTAGATCCGGCAAACTCCATATAAACATTGTGTTCATTGGCATAGAGATCCTTGGCATGCTGTCAAATGGACTTGCAAGTGAGATGAGAGCAAAAAATCTGCATCAAGGATGGATGAATGGTGGATATGATGACACTGCACAACTAGGCATCAATTTTAATCTAGCAATGACTTTCAACATCAGGCACAAATTCAGCCTTGGTGGTGAGGTGGTCGACATAAACTTGCCAGTAAGCCAAAGTTTAGTATTCAATGCCCAATTGTCCTAGTTGGTATTATCCAACTTGTCTATACGAAGAGGGAGATTGACATAATTAATGAAAATGGGCAACTCAAGCTTTAGAACATCCTTAGGAGGGGCAGAGGAACCAAATTTGGCAATGGGTCACACCAAACAGCAAAACAAAGGCCGAACGCACAATGAAGGGGGTCACAAAGAAAGATAAGGCCTCCAAACAAACTTTGAAGGGGACGACACCCATGGATGTAGGCAGATCAGAGACCAGCTCGGAATGGAGAATAATGACAAAAAAGGCATGACCATACGCTGGATGACTGTGCTGCCGGAACGACAACACGTCAGGAGATGCAAGAAACTGGATAGATGACATAATTTTTAAAAAAAAAAATATCGTCGGGTGGATTAGGATAATCACATAATAATAGTTTACCAATGTGGGACTTCATCCTTTAAGTATTACTACCCTATTTTTCAACTTTACAACAAGTATAAATACAGGGTTGGACTATTATGATCAATCGGTGTGATAGTTTTCTCTTAGTCTCACGTTTCCTTCAATTTTCCTTTCTCTTTCTAAAACCTTATTTTTCCACTGGAAGATGTATCTGTTCTCTTTTCTCTCTAATATAACTTCTTTATGAAAAATTTAAAAGCAAAAAGTGTTTCACATCAAAAGGCACTGCATATTTGAGTGACAGAAGGCAAAAACCATAATTGCTAGTTAAATGCATCAATCTTATTAAGGAAATAAAGAAAATTTCACATACTGGAAGTTGGTATTCTGTTTGAGAAATCCTGCGGCCCCCTTTGATTGCAAAATGAGCACAACCAGGATACTTTCCCTTTCTCGAGTACAAATCAAGGTAGAGATATCCCAAGTCACCCTGAAATGAGTTTGAGTCTCAGTTCATTCAAACTGATTAATGGATAAAAAATGCAGAACAGTATTGATATTAATAATCAGAGACAATGTAAATTACATATGGGTGATCAGATCTTTGGCAGCACACATAAATGAAATAAGTTCCAAAACCATAAAATCTAGGTACAATCAAAAAATTATCAGAACATTAGAAATATTACCATAGCAATTAGAAATATCATCATGAAAGGACCAGGCACGTGGAAGATGACCATCATTTCATCCAGAAAAGGTTAGATGATGGAAGTGTGTGTATGTATGACATACATTCCCACAAAAGAGCAATCTGCATACATTCTCACTAAAATCTTGCATAGACCAGCCTTTAAAGACTTAGTATGCAAGTTGAAAAAGATCAATATATACCTCCAAACTTGAGGGGGAGTGTAGGAAATCCTTATATTTCAATGTTTTAGGAAATTATCACATCCCTAATACATAGGGTTTTTTATAATTATCAACGGGGAGTGGTTTTTTTTAGCTTTCATTTTTTACTCATAGGTTCACTGTATATATTGTAACCTCTCCTTATTGAGAAATACAACCCAATATAGAATTTTTGAAGAAATTCTAATCTCTGGCCTTGCCTCGCTGCTTACTAACTGTGTGACTCCCCTATATGTATTCCGTGAATGCTATTATAATCACTTGAGATTGAATAAAATTGTATATTACAATGTATAAGAGCTCTTTATTTAAAGAGACTAAATAACCTAATGGGCTAAGCTCACAAGATGTGAGACTATTCTATTATATACACTGAACAACTATTCTAACACTCCCCCTCAAGCTGGTGCGTATATATTGTAAGCACCCAGCTTATTACAAATGTATTCAACCCAAGGACATCTAAGAGCTTTAGTGAAGACATCCACGGGTTGATCATTGGAGTTGACAAATGCCGTTTTGATTTCTCCTTACTAAACTTTTTCTCAAATGAAGTGACAATCGATCTCTAAATGCTTGATTCTTTCATGAAATACAGGAATAGATGATTTATGTAGCGCAGCTTGATTATCACAAATGAGTGTCATGGGATGTTCCTATTCACAAAAATGGAGCTCATGTATCAACTACTTTAACCAAATTAGCTCGCAGGTAGCAACTCTCATTGCACGATATTCGGCTTCTACACTAGATTAGGCAACAACAGTTTGTTTCTTACTTTTCCAAAAAATCAAGTTTCCTCCAAAGAAGACACAGTTGAAAAAGAGATAATCTTATCGATAAAATTGTATATTACTGTTGAGATATATAAAACCATTAATATAGCCCAACCCCACAGCTTAAGCTTTTGGGTTGAATTGGTTCTTTACATGGTATCAGAGCCTCGTGTCCCGGGTTCGATCCTCCCCGCCCCCCCCCCCCCCCCAAACTTTCTTTCAAGTGGAATTTCTTTCTTCGCACAGGTAGGTAGGCCTGTGCATTGTCCACCCTTCAAGCCTAGTGGGCTTTCGTGTGAAGAGGCGTGTTAAGATATATAAAACCATTAATATAGCCCAACCCCACAGCTTAAGCTTTTGGGTTGAATTGGTTCTTTACAATTACATCTGTACAATTGCTCTCTATTTAAATAGACTAAATAACCTAATGGGCTAAGCCCAAAGAAGATTCTAGAATAATAAATAAATAAATAAATAAACAAATACAATTATTTACAACAGACACAATAGCCTGAAGTAGAGCGTCTATCCGAGGGTTATCCTACCCAATCGACATTTGAGTAACCAAAAATTTCTGTATTTTCCTGATCTGAATATAATAAATCTTTCCCTGGTGCTCCTTTGATGTACAGGAGGATCCTTACAGCAGCATCCCAATGAGAATCACAAGGAGAGTCAAGGAATTGACTAGCCACTCTAAGAACAAAAGAAATGTCCGGCCAAGTCATAGTGAGATAATTGAGCTTTCCAATCAACCTTCAATAAAGTCCAGGATCAGATAATAGCTCTCCTTGTCCAGGCAGTAATTTAATAGTAGGATCCATCGGTGTATTAACTAGCTTACACCCTAACATACCAGTCTCATCTAGGATATCTAAGACATATTTCCTTTGACAGATAGAAATGCCCTGTTTAGATTGTGCTACCTCAATCCCTAAGAAGTAATAAAGCTTACCAAGATCCTTTGTTTGAAATTGACTAAACAAATACTATTTTAACTGGCGAATCCCAACTTGATCACTTCCAGTGAGAATAATGTCATCGACATAGACTAACAGATAGATGCACTTGTCAGGAGATGTGAATCTATAAAACACAGAAAATCGACCTTACTGCGGATTAAGCCAAAGGCCTGAACGGTATAACTGAAATGGTTGAAACATGCCTGAGGAGACTGCTTGAGGCCGTATAAGGACTTACAAAGTCTACACACCATCCCAGACTCCCCCTGAGCAACAAACCCAGGTGATTGCCCCATGTAAACGTCTTCTTGTAAATCACCATGAAGAAAAGCATTTTTAATGTCTAGTTGAAGGAGTGGTCAGTGACGAACAGCAACGAGGCCAAGAAACATGCGGACAGACACCATCTTAGAGACAGGAGAGAATGTGTCACTATAGTCAAGACTGAAGATCTAAGTAAAACCCTTGGCAACTAAGCGTGCCTTGAGACGGCCAACATGGCCATCAGGTCCAACCTTGACAATAAAGACCCGTCGACAACCAACAATAGACTTCTCCGGAAGAGCAGGAACATGGCCATTGGAATGAAGAGCAATCATCTCATCAAGCATCGCTTGGCGCCACCCTGGATTGGAAAGTGCTTCACCTATGGTCTTAGAAATAGAAACAAAGGTGTAATGAGGAATAGAAAGATGGTCATAGCTTAAAAATGTATAAAGAGAATAAGGGTTACGAGTAGTACGTATACCTTTTCTATGAGCAATGGGAAGAACCTCTGGTAAAGGAGCCGGAGGTGAAGAGGTGACAAGAGTAGGCGATGAGTCACCCAGGGTCAAGTCCGCAGAAGGCAGTTTATGACGATGCTACTAGGTGAGAAAAGGGAGGTTCACAGGGAAGGAGGCAAGAGGGTTGTCATCAGGGAGAGAGTCACCTACAGCTAGTAAAGACGAGTCAAGAAAAGGAACAAGAAGAACCTGTGGCAACTGAGATGGGATAGAATAAAAGGGTTGTTGATCAAGGAAAGTGACATCAGCGAAAACAATATGACACTTAAGATCAAGAGAATAACAACGATAACCCTTTTGAATACGAGAATAACCAAGAAAGATATACTAAAAGGCTTTGGATGTTAACTTGTCCTTACCAGGAGTGAAATCGTGAACAAAACAGATACAACCAAAGAAATGTGGAGATAGAGGATAAAGAGGAGCATCTGATAATAAATTATGGGGAATGTCATTGTTGAGCATAGATGAAGGCATGCGATTGATAATAAAACAAGAAGCGAGTACGGCATCCGCCCTGAAGTGAAAAGAAACCTGCATATAAATAAGAAAGGTACGGGAAGTTTCAATAACATGTATGTTTTTACGTTCAACCATCCCATTTTGTTGTGGAGTGTGAGGACAAGTGGTTTGATGTAAGGTATCATATGTAGCCAAGAAATTAGAAAATTCAAAAAAAACATTTTCCTTAGTATTATCACTACGTAGAATACGAATAGAAACACCAAATTGAGTATGAACGTCAATAGAAAACTTTTTATAAATGAAAAATAACTCAACGATTTTTCATTAAATAAATCCAGGTACAACATGAATAATCATCAATAAAAGTAACAAAATACCAAAAACCTAAAACAGACAAAGTACGACTTGGACCCCATATATCTGAACGAATAAAAGAAAAGGGAGCATCAGCTCGTTTATTGACTCGACTGGCAAAGGAGGAGAGTGTGTGCTTCCCTTGCTAACACGACAAACAATCTAAAGACTGAAGACCGGATAAAAGAGAAATCATCTTCTGTAATTTTGAAAGACTCGGATGACCAAGGCGGCTATGGATAAGTTGTGGAGATTCTGTGAGAGAGCATGCTACTGAAGGACGAGGCACAATCAAATAATAAAGCCCCTGTGACTCACGACCCACTCCAATCGTCTTCCCCGTACCTGGATCCTGCATAGAAATAGAACGGTTAGAGAAAATAATGGTGCAAGTGAGGGAGTGAGTCAATTTACTAACAGAAAATAAGTTATAAGGGATGCCAGGAATGTAATAGACAGATGTCAAGGTCAAGGTAGAGGTCGGACAAGCTTGTCCAATCCCACGAACTGGGGCTTTAGTCCATCAGCAGAGGTAAATGAAGGTAAATGATCAGAATAAATAAAAGATGTAAAGAGTTCCTTATTACCACAAAGGTGATCGGTAGCACCTGAGTCAAATATCCAAGAACCAAGTGATGTAGAATGAGAGACACAAGCAACGGGATTACCAGTATCTTAAGCGGAGGGCTGAGACTGAGGAGAAGCCTTCCTAAAAAGAGACTGGAGTGCAACATAGTCTGCAGGTGTGAGAGAGATTGAACCAGATGATGCAGTGTCTAACTGAGCTATATTAACAGCAAGAGAAGGTCACAGATGAGGATACTTCGTGTAACAACGATCTTCAAAATGACCAAGTTGCTGACAATAATTACGAGGTCTTTGACCACGTATGCCAGGGCCCCCGCCACGACCGCGACCATGTCAATTGTTCCAGCGAGTGTCAATACGGGAAACAAGAGCAGTGGAATCAACAACAGAAGATGAATCAGGAGCAGGAAAAGGTTTCTTGTTGAGATTCAAGAGGTGTAGGTAGGTCAGTGATAGACTAGGATCCCCACTAGTCAAGATAGGGTCACGGATAGCATCATACTCCTTTGGAAGACCAAAAAGAGTAGTAAACATATAGAGACATTCCACCTGTTTTCAATATGCAGAAGCATCAGAAGGATAAGGTAACATGTCCAAGTATGCCTGCATCAAAGATCGATTTTTGCCAACATATGTTTCCATCTG